CATGGAGAATGTGTCAGTAATGCAGTATATGAGACTTGTATCAGAGAGAGCGGGGAACTAGGATAACCAGCTGTGTTGCGAGACAAAGGAGTGAGCAAGGCAGAGCAGAACGAGTAATTGTGAGCCCACACACATGAACGCAACAGCATGTAGCTGCTTGAACCTAATTCAATAAGATCTCCCTCAGCCACCCCCATCGTTGCGTGTGCTGTTGCTCATGCATCGCTCTTTTTCGCTGCGCTTGTGGCCAAGCGAGAACACACTCGTGTGTATGTGCGTGCAGCAGTCAAGGAATAGCTGGTGTGTCTCAGTGGCACTCATGAATGGGAACAGAGAGTGAGACGGAAGTACAGAGGATGGCTGTATTAGGGGAGACCCGCAGTTGGAGCCCCAAGCCGTGGGAGTTCAGGCGTTATAACTGTGACTTCCACCACAAGTCTGAGGTAAATAAATGGCACTTGCTGCCAAATTTATTTTCTTTGAGACGCACATTGTGCTTATTTTTTTAGGTTAGGCTGAGAGGCTGAAATTCATTTGTGTTTGTCTCTATTGAGTAGATAAATATTCTCTTCTGATAGACTTTTTTTCCTCATTGTTCTAAAGACTGGTGCTGTTGGCTTTTAGATAAGAATTAGGTGCACAAAAGCTGGTCACTGTTGATTTGAGGCTGGGGTTGAGGTCCTTTCGTTCAGTTCAGTTCGGTTTTTACCTCCGGAAGGACTGTCAGTTCTTAACCCTCGGTTGAGGCGAGAGCAGCATTTTCCTGTTGTTCTTGGCATGACATGTTTTTTGTGCTGTTTTTTTCTCCAGTTTTTTTTTTTCAAGAGTTAAACTCTTGAGAACACATTTATAACAACTTAAAACTGATGCTGATTTTTTTTGTCATTTTCTCTTTTTTGCTTTCAACAATGTGGTGTTGACTGTTTTTGAATGTCACTTTGACATTTTTAGGACTCCACACTTTCCCTGTGTTTATTCTACCTGTTGACTGATATCAGTGTGCCTTTGTCAGTCTCGGTATGACATTTATCATGGTTCATCCACGCCTTTGAAGTGACTCACCCCGTTCCATATCCTTTCATGAGGAAGGCACAAACATTGAGACCTTTAGCCAAAAACTAGTGAAAGCTGAACAAGGTGGCATATGTTTTAAAATCAGCCAGTCTGATGACTTCCTGCTGGAGGCTTTCAGATCAGGACCCCTGCTCTACTGAAATAGATCAGTGCTCCCGCTCGTCTCCGAGACAGATGTGTCATCAATAGTGCCTTAACAAAAGCTCAATGGAAGACTGACTCAGAGCGATTTCATGGAACAAGTGGTACTCTGATGAGCGCTGAACCTGCCTCTCCATCTTGTTTCAGACCCATGCGAGTGACGTGGGTTTGGACGTCACATCCAGTGATGTTGTCCTCTCCACTTCATCATTCATGCTTGTAATCTAATATCAGAGATTTGCATCCTGTCTCTTGAACGGTGGAGTCCTGCTTTGCCCTTCCTTGTTTTGTGGTATTGCAGAGGCCTGTCATTTAGAGAAGGATTGAGCTATTCATTTTTGTACAAAAGTTTCCTGAATTTAGTTGAATTTGTTTATTTTCACATTTAATTACTTGACAGACATATTACCAATGAGTAATTCATAGCACATATTTGGAGCTTAGTGTACATGTACATGGGATGACAACAACTAAAGCATTATTGACTAAATTGGTACATTTCTGAAGAAAATGTGAGTGGTGCTTGCCAATCAGGGCTCCAGACTAACATTTGAGGGCAGGGGCACCAGCGGCACTAAGTTCTACGGATGGTGGCGCCAGGAGCAGATTTGGTAGTGCTGGGGGTGGTGTGCGGGAGTATTAAAATATAGATCATTTAATCGTAAAATTACTATTGTTTTGCATTGATAAGTGCAGTTACTAATAATATTACATGTTCATTTCTTGTTTATTTTTCTTTTGATTTATTGTTTAAAGCACTAGCTTGAGTTAAGATGCATACAAAATGTACATTTATTAACAGTAACAGGTGCAAAATCAAATTTTTATATAGAAAATGTATATAGTCCACTCTTATTAAATGTACCATTATTCTTCTAGTATATGGAACTGACCAACTTCAGTGATTGTGTGATTTAGTAGCAAATTGAAGAAAAGTTTGTTTTTCAAGGCACTTTGTGACTTTTCTTACTTCATACACAAAAAAGTGTAAAATTCTGACAAAATCTGATTTCTTGATGATTTGATATTTTATAATAGTGATTTTATAATTTCAAAATATAGAGAAATTAAATGAAATGAATGACTAATAAGCCAATAAGTGCTCCTCTGCTGCCGTCTACTGGTTATAATTGTGATTTGATGTATTTTAAAAATTTTACACAAGTGTTTGTTTACCACAAAGTATATTTTGGCCATCCCATTAAAAATAAGATTCAAATTGAATAATTTTAGAGCTTTAAAGTGCTGGAAATAGTTGTGTGAAATGCTTGAAAGTCATTGAAAAGTGCTTGAATTTCTCTCTCAAAAGGTTGTACAAACACTGAAATGAATAATGTAATGCATTCGACTATTTCTACCACAACACAATGGTTACAGTTAGCGTTACCGCTTCTGGTTTCCTGACGAAGGCTATGTCAGTGCTGTTTATAACAGAGAATTCTGTGCAGAATTTGAATGATTCTCACTAGATCTCGCAGCAACCTTATCATTGTGCAGCGAATTCAAACGCTTCTCGCTGGATCTCACAGCGCTGTTCTGTAACAGTGTCGCGAAATCAACTTTGGCTCCCGAGTAAAGCTGTTCTGAGCTCGGGCAAGTTTGTTTACGTCGTGGTGCGAGCTGATAAACGGTCTGCGCTGCACAGCTGAAACGTAGCACGGTTAAGTTTCGCTTTCGTTTCGTTTGCCGTTTGAGGTTTCTAAAATGCAACAGAAATGGCAGCGCTTATGAATTGGACAACGCGGTGGTCGCGCCAGTGCGACCTCTCACAAAAATTAGTCGCACCGGCAGAAAAAATAGTCGCAAATTCTCTGGCAGTCTGGAGCCCTGCCAATGCAGCACTCGCTGTCATGTTACTAGAGTGTTTGCCAGCGTGCTGTTTTATAGTCAGTAAAGCCCCGTCCACACATGTAGCAAATTCCAGCAACACTAATGTCATTTATTATTATTTTATTTTATTTTTTTTAATGAGAGCTGGCAGGTTCTGGCATCACGAGCGACCTCTGGCGACCATATGTGGGCGTGTCCAGCAAATTCGAGAAAAGTTTGAGTAAAGAGCGAAGACTTTGACAGTGGAACTCACTCTTGAGTACAAGCAAGCTAGGACAGAGAAGCAAATACTATTTAATTTTTTAACCTTTAATATTTTAGCACTGATGCGTATAGGTGTGGAGATGCTTTTACTGAGCTAACTGTGGCAGCAACGTGTATCATGACTTGACAACCTCGCAATGCAAATGTAGCAGCATCGTCGTGACGTTCCACAGCATTAGAGTAAATTCACCGGAGCAAATAATCAATTTCAAGACAATTACTGTCAAATTTTAAATCACCTTCACTGAGCCATGTTCCTGTCATTATGTGCAATCTGTAGGTTTTTTGTGAGGACTATAATAAGTTTTAAGCTTAGTTATTCTGTTATTCATCTCTATCTATATACATGACTATAATAAAAGAGATGCATGGAAAACAAATGGTTGTCAGTCTTAGTGATTTTAATTCGTTCACTGATTTTGTCTGGTTAATGATATGATGCAATGAGCATTTTTGCACTGCTGCTTGAGTGCTTTTATATTAAAATAAAGAAAACTAATTCCTAGTCAAATTGGAGTAAATATTTTTTTCATCTGTGATCTCATTATCTAAAGATATGTCCAGACATGCTGTCTACCAATAACATTAAAGTGACAGCAATAGTAACAGTGGTGCTTACAGTACAGAGTCGCGACAACAAGCAATAAAGATGCTGCATGTGTATATATATACACACCTTAAGGTGTTTTGAGTGGTTGCTGGTGTGGTTGAGAGGTTACGATGTAGTTGCTTAAGTCCAAAGAGCCCAGCTCCAGGTCTCGCTATTTCTGTCTTTTAGCATTTTATTGTCAATAATATTCTCGAATGTTATGAAAGAGTTCAAAAGATTGTGAATTTGTTTTTGTGTGTTTAAATCTTCACTTTCCTTTTGGAAATAGATTTGTGCTGTTTATGAGTGGATGATATTGCTAAAACTATGAATGAAATTGGTTGTGCTGTTTCATGATTCAGCTGTGTCAGATTCAACACATGATTCCCCTGAGCCGCAGTCATTGATCAGAAAACCGAGTTTAGAGTGCCTCAAAGACAATAACAAATCAATTTTGATGACATTTCTATTGATTCTCAGATCTCGTAGGAAATAGAAACGTCCATATTTGTTCTTGTTTAAAAACAACAACAACAACAACAAAAAAGTAAAACTTTGAATTTGCACCACATTGCCGCCCACCCCATGGCTGGAATGTATGTGTGTTTATTCCTGTTTTTCCCCTTCTTTTTTCTTGGAATCTGAGCATTTTCGTCATAGCAGTAAACAATATTTCCATTTTCTGCTGCCCTCAGAAGTGGATGTGTATGTTTTCATCTATTTGCGTGTCAGTTATGTATAGCCATGAGAAAATAAGAGTAATAGAAGCATGTTTGTGCCTGGCTGAATGATGGCCATTTTTACGCTAGATATATTAGCCTGGAATAAAACTGAGCCACGTGGAGCACTGTGCTGACGTTAGATGAGGTTAAGATAAGGGCAGAAGGAAGTTTAGTCTTTAATTTTATTCACAGAGCCCTCACAGGTTGAGCCATTCAAATCACTACAGTTTATCTTTATTCAGTGTAGAGTTGTCTTTCATCCAAGCAGTTCATTTTTATACATTTTTATGAAATAAGGGAATGTGTTGAGCTAAGATTTGGAGTTGAAGTGGTCTGAATAGACTGGTTTCCTCTAACAGCATCTTTCTTGCTTTCTTCAGGTAATCTTGGTGCAGGTAAACCCAGGAGAGGCCTTCACGATCCAGCGAGATGATGGTCAGTTTCAGTGTATCACAGGTAAGCTTTTCTTATGTTTCTCTTGTATTAAGAAGGATTTCTGTGTGATTTAACCCATAATTACATTAGTCTACGAACAAGTGGCATTTAATTTTGCCAAATCACGAGTTCAGATGATTGTAATTACCACTCTGAGACTTACCCCGTAATTGACTGCAGTTAAAGTGCTGATTAATACCTGTAAATTCTTTTAATTGTTTAGAGAGATTTGAGTCTCCTTGTTCCCAGATACTTGAGGGTACCATTTTTTTTCTTTTTAAACGGTCGTAAGTAACATCCCAGTTTCCTTAAATGCCTCCTCTAAAGTGTGAACTATGGTGTAATTTTCCTCTTTAATCTAGAGTTTAGATATACATGGAATACAACTGGAATTTTCTATTTTGGTAGAGTAAAACCGGGTATGCCCTTGTAAAAATACTTTATTAGGTCCCAGTTTATGAGCCTGATAGTGATTCGGAGCATCTAGAAGTCCTTAATTTTCAAAACAAAAGTACTTGATTCAGGAAACTTGTTGCAGCATTCCTGGTTGGGTCAGTGTCCTGAATGTAAAATGAATATTTTACTGAACTACTGTGGAATCCCTCCACTGAACTCACTTTCCACACGACTACATCATGACTCCTAGCAGATCCCCTGGTCTGAATCAACACATCATCATTCACTAAAGAGAGCCATCCAGTGTTGGGTCTAATTGCCGTATGTGTTGGAAGCTCAGTCACAACAGTCAGCTAGTGTTTGGTGCGTCTCGTCAGGGTTGCAATGAGATGTCTTACACCCCCTCAGCTTGCGAAGAGCGTTTTTTTGTCTGCAGCCATTGTGTGGGATGGTGCAAACACGCTACGAACTGCCAACCTCCCTGATTGGCAGTTGCTGCAATAGGAGGAAGTGGAGCGTGACTGTAATTGAAAGATTACTGTGCCTTGGGAAGCTATTGATTATAAAAACAATAGCATCCAGCTCATTGTATGCGGTAAGCCTGATTGTTCTGCTCCTAGCTGGCTTGATTAGCTTGGCAAGGATATGAACCTGTGAAAGTAAGCAGTCGGCTGCATTGAAATGAGATTGATGTTATCATCCGGCTTTAGCATTTAACTGAAAACCCAATTGGAAAATGGTAGCCAATTGTTCTGAAAACCTAAGGGCATCATTTTTTTTCTTTTGCAGTTATGACTAGCACATTGTTAGCTCGTCACTTATCAAGGAGCGACACATAATCCAATCCATATAAAGATTACAGCAGAAATGCCACACTACTCAGAGTTTTCCACATGATTTGCGGAAACTATGGAGGCCTTTTTTTTTCGGATCTGTATTCCTCATGACAGTGTGAACAGCACAAACCACATGAAATCTGATCTTTTCAATTCCGATTTGTGCCACTTCAATATGTGGTACTAAATCCGATACAGGTCAGATGTTTTGGAATGCGTGTCATATTGGAATTCATGCTTCTTTTACATCACTCTAGATCAACATTCGTCATGATTCTGCACAGCAGATCACACTATAAATAAACGCATAATCGCTTACTTTATGTCCTCCGTGTTTACTTCCATATGACAGCGTGTTGCGCAAGTGTTGCCAACTCCACAGTTTTCCCGTGGAATTGGTCTACTTTTTCATTGTTGCCGCAGGTTGTTTTTCAACTCCGTGGGTTAAAGCAACCTCACTAACGCGGTATTTATCCGACCTGTAACGGATTTAGTACCACTGCGATTGGCCTAGTTTTGGACTAGTTTGCAGTTGAGTGGATTTTGTTGTGAAAACCTGGCAACCCTGTTCATATTGTTATTTTGCGTATGCGGATCAGTTCAGAACCATGATCTGTTCACACTGGAAATCTGATATTGGCCACATTTAAAACAACAATGTGAGCAGCTATACAAAAAAATTGGATCTGAGCAAAAATCTGAATTGAGCACTAAGGCTCGCAGTGTGAACGTAGCCAAAATCTTGTACATTTTCAAGTTAAATGCATCAAAAAAATCTTTGCATTGATTTGTAACTGGGCTTTAAGTGGACTCAAACCTCTTTTTAGTTATGGTAGTGTGTCTGTCTACACACCGATGTTTTAGGAAAATAACTTTAGATAAGTAGAAATTCTGGAATATACTGGAATGTTTGAACTTTAAAATTATGTAGATTTGGAATTTTAGGCCAATGACATTTCTTTATTAGCTGCACTACATAGCACGATGTGACTGAAGTAGAAACCCCTTAAAGTTGCGGTGAAACAGAAGCAGTGACAGATCTTTTCTTCTGAATTGTGACGTACAGTTCATAGTAACGGATTATCCAAAGACAAAAATGTTGGCCGGGACTTTGTTTAATCCATTGGTTGGATTTTGAGAGATGGCATTGCACTCAAAAATGAATGTGAGCTGTCTCACTGAAAGAAAGAAAAAATTACTTGGAAGAATTGTTCACACTACAGTCTATAAAATGCTTGAATTTATCATTACATGGCGGCAACAGGAATAGTTCTGTCATCATTCACTCGCCCTAATCTGGTTCCAAATCTGTTCTTTTGTTAAACACTAAAGACGATACTTTGAAGAATATACTGGTCACTTTTTTTTCCAACCAATTACAGCTAATTGTGACGTCGTCCATGTCCAATTTATTAACAAAATATTCTTATGAGCCAGATGTGTCGATTGCACCAGTTCGATTGATTCATTAGGATTAATGAATCAGACTGGTCCTGTTCCTGAATAAGTAGTGTGCTTCCTTCTTGCATTTTTGCATTCACTGAAATGGCATGGAAAAGTGTGAAAAGTATATAAAATTTTTGGCTTTTGTCATTTGCCGAGGGAATTGCTAAATGTTATCACTGTAATGCACAATCATTTGTGTTTTTATTCTTGATTGAACTAAAGGTTTTTTTTTTATTTTTTAAAGAAGCAAAATGTAATTGATAAGCTATAGCAGCCATAATATGCCATTCTCATCGTGTTTCAACACAGTCCTACTGTTGACACATGCCAAGGTCTTTGTGGGACAAAGAATCCATTCCCTTTCAGAAAGAGGGGCAAGAGCTAAATTTAGACGCAAGCTTCACATCTTGATGTGTTGATGAGTTGATGAGGAAGAGTAGCGTGAGGGCGAGTGGGGCTGCTGTGCACTGGTCTGTCACTGGAAGCTGTTGTCTGTCAGTGACGTGAATGGAGTGATGACTCACCGTTGCGGTAGCCGAGGGAAGAGTGTGTGTTTGTGCGTGCGTTTAACCCATAACCTTAGAGTGAGCTGGAGGTAATGCTAAAATCCACAGGATAAACCAGAGGGAACTGGTTGGTCCCTCTCTTCCTGATTTGTTTTTTGGTCCAGATGGGCGTTTGTTCTATTTCTGAATTAATTCATGTGTTTTCAGTAGCTGGAAGTACATAAATACCACACACGCACTATACAGAGCTTCATAACTGTCTGTTTAATAAGAAGCTGCAGCCTTACGATGGGAAGAGTGAACATAATTTAAGATATCTCAGACTGCCGGGGGTGGACTGTGGTTGAGAATGACATCAGAGGGGTGAAACTTGTTAACACAGCCCTTTAACATCACAGCCCTAAAGTTTCTTTGAACGTTTGCCACCCCAGATGTGGATATTGGTGTTCAGCCTGTAAATGCCATCACGTTGATTTGTGCACACTTACTTGTTTGTGTTTTTGTCTCTTGAGTACTCATGTAGGATGTTGGCCAGGAGTTTCCAGTTACTAGCTGGAAATTTACGTCTGACTAGCTGGACTTACGGAAACAGTCTTGACTTGTAATAATAGTTTTTTTCACCACCTCTTTTCTTTTCATTAAAGGGGTGGTTGACTGGGTTTTTTCTAGGCTTGATTGTGTTTATGGGGTGCAGTCTAACATGTGTTCATGCTTCGTTTTTTAAAAAACGCATTATTTTTCACGTAATTTACCTTTATTCCACACCGATCTGTCCCTTCTCTAACAAACGCCTCGATTATTTCCTGTTTTTATGAAGCCCCTCCCTCAGAAATACGCGATGGGCTGAGATTGGTCAGACCATTAGTCAACCAGTTCACTGTAAAAACTGCAGGTGTTATGATGGTCTCACTTAATGTAACTGAGCAGAGTGCTCACTAAAAACCTATTCACTCACAGGTCATCTTTTTAAGTTCATTTTTTCTCTGATATGACCTAAAGTGGTGATGTATGAGTGGGTGAGCTGTTTACTCTGTAATTAGATCATTCGTTTACACCAGTATGTCTGATTCAGGCTGATTTTACGGACTGATTGTGAGAATGAGAGACAGGTATTATTGCACTGACTGCTTAATTGGCCAGTCATAGCATATTGCGTAATATTCGTTCAGTTTTATTTTTGTACTGTCAATTATTTTCTTTTCTGAATTTTGAGGAGGCGCTTGCTCCATTGCTTCCTCATAAAACGCCCCTGGCTGAATAAACATGTTGTGTTCCATAGTGCTTCAAACTTCTTGTTCTTACAGTGGTACCATGAAGGATACAGCATCCAGATTTGAGTCTATAGTCAAAAAACATGATAAAACACTTTAGTATGTTGTGCAGAAACAGGCCGTGGTGTTCTCTCTAGGCTTTCTCTCTGTTTGTCAGCTGGCGGGGCGTCTTCTAAATCCGTTAGTCCTCTCGTGTGAGGGGTTTAAACAGTGCTGGAGAGATTTCAGCTGTTTTACAGACTGCGAGAGTTACAACACTGTCAAAGAAGCCGTGAGAGACGGAGTATGTGAGAGAATCACTGTTCTTCAGCAAGTGTGCTGCTAGCAAGTTGGTCTCGTAGTTTTTTTTCTCGCTGTCTCCGTCATAATGACTGTCATCCATTGCATTAAGGAATTATTTATTAAGCGCTTCATCATTCCTGATGCATGGTTGTAAGTGAATGTAGCCAGATGAGCAGGCTGTTGTTCATGTGCAAGGCCTTCAGATTCATTCTCTGACCAACTGCTTTCTAGTCTAATTCTATATTGAATTATAAATTGATTTCTAATCTTGAATTATGTGTTTA